CATGTTAAATGAAAAGGTAACTAAACAAGAAAAATTTTTTAAAAAAGAGTGAGTGATGGTCACGCACAGCAAAAGGAGAGAGTGAATTTTAGCTACGCCTCCTGGTGCACGCTTGTGTACTATGTTTGTCAGAGAGATAAAAAGAACTTAGAAAAGCAACAAGAGAAAGGATAGAGCAATGATTGTCTTGAAGAAAAGAGTGTGTAAAAAAATTCTGAACAATGACTCACGAGAAAAAAAAAAAAAAAGGGGCAACTGATCAACTCACGAGACAACCTGCACGCCAGGCGGCAGCACCACCCGACATATTGCTGTCAATGCGTGACGGCATTTGTCTGCTCTTTCAGTCCCAGAATAGTCCCTGCAATGTTTGTTTAATACTACTACTATTCTCGGCTCCGTCGGTTGACACCATGCTGATGCTTTTGCCGCCCTAACCTTGCGTTTTTGAGCCACCTGAGTTCTTTCATCTTTGTCGACCAAAAGCTACTTGGGAGCTCTTGTTGGTCGAACAAGAATACTGGCAGAAATTTGTATATATACAGTTCAAGGGTGTCTGTAGAGGTCCTAGAGGACATAGTGCCGAAAACTTTGGTCAATTGTATGCCATGCACATATGGTAAATCCATGTGCTTTTGTTTTTGTTTTTGTTTTTCTATTCTTTCCATTTACTTGGTTGAGACATATTTATAGTATGGACAGCTAGGTTTTGGAACCATATGCATCATTCTCAAACCAGTGTGGGATAATTTCAAGTATGTTACACTAGATTATGAAAGATTCTAGCGTCATTTCATGGTTAGTTTAATCTTGTGGAAGCCGAACTCCACCTCAAATTCTCAAATTAATGCTCAAGCAAGGCACCCTCATATACATTTCAATACAGACAGGTTCAGTTATGTTTTGGTGTGATTGTGATCTGTTATTTTATTTCTTATAATATTTTGTGGAGACATTCATAAATTATTACGCATTTGTTATGCATGACCAAAATTTATAGTTCTAGCGCATGCACACGCTAAAAGATAAATGCAAGTGTATATCAAAATATGTAATGCATACAATAACCGTTGCATCGGCCTCCAATTCCTTCAATTACGTAGTTAAAGGTAGGGCTGATGCTGGACCGATTAGCTTGACTCGATTTCGCAAGCTATTCGATCAGCAGCTCAGCTGAAACTCGTTTTGACCGAACTCGAGTTTTAATATTTTGCACTCGAAAGTTCGACGAGTCTAATTGAGTTTTTTATAATATATATTTTAATTTTTATTATTGTGAAATGTCAATAATATCTTTTATTTAGAATTATATATAAAATATTAATTTTTATTACGTGAGCATGATTAGACTTGATTGAGCTCGAATAGGCTCGATTGAGTTTGATTTGAATTGATTACATTTAATTAAACTCGAACTCGAATAACGTAAATTGATATCGAGTTCGAGCTTGAGCTTGAATTCTAAAAGCTCGACGAGCTCGAACTTAGCTATTTTACCTCATTACTCGAGCTTGATTCGATTCGAACGCACCCCTAAGTTATAGGTTTATATTTTGTGATCCAACATAAACTGCAGAAAACTGTTTGGATTGTCATTTTCTGCCAAAAAATTGCATCATTTTTCGTGATCACATTTCCCTACCTTTTTTCCTCACATACATCAAATCACTACAGTAATTTTTTCATGAAAAATGCAATCCAAACACATGTCCAGCACCTAGAGGACAACCCTTGCCAACAAATAACTTAAGGTCATAAACACAGTTATATATGCTACCACTAAAAGAGTTAATCAAGAAACATAAAGCTAACGTACTATGTGTGTTGTTAAGACTCAATTATCTTTTAGGGCCATTCGTAGGTAACTATTAGGTTTTTATTTTTACTGTTAAATCCTTTTCATTTCTTTCTACTTGTATGATTTAAATGCTTCCTTAGCTGAAAAAAAAAAAGAAGAAGAGGAGGAGGAGAGGAGGAGGAGGAGGGGATAACATTCAATTAATACTCAATAACATTAAAAGCATTCGATTGTGGTATCGATCAACAGAAGAAAAAAAATGCATTCAACTATTGATCAACCATTATATCTATCTTTGCACATAGAGATGCACATATCACCAAAGGTAGAATTGCCTTCCTACTTAACAAGATTGAATTGCTCGTCTCTTTGAACCTCTCAGTGGACTATTAAATCTTTGTTAATTGCTTTGAGTCACTATCCTCAACTCAGCAAATATGAGAAAAGTATGTAACAAAATTTTTCAATAATTTGCGATTATAAGAAATAATTAGAACATAAAAATTCATGAAACAATCAATTTTAATGTAATATGACATGAGAAAAACTTGAGTCAAATAAAACTTTTATTTTATTATTTTTTTAGTGGGGAAGGGATGAGATTTAAGAAATCAGGAGAGAGAAAAGGGATTTGGTTTTAGGGCTGCACATATATTTGGCCATGAAAACAGAAAACATTTTGGCCATGAAAATCCATCGCCATATTTGGTTTTAGCAAAAACTGGCTATATGCTTCAACATATTTTTCCAATACATGTGTAGTTGAAAAATTACACAAGCAAGTTCTTAACTACTGGCCGACACTTCCTAAAGGTAACGTGCAGTCAAGTCAACTATGGACATATATAACGCGTGCCCAAGATTCGCAATAAATCCACTGATAGATCATAAGAATAAATGGTAGAAATACTCCCAAGATTCTTGAAACATAAAGTCCCTTAATAAATTTTTTTTTTTAAAAGTTGAGTTTTGTTTGTATTGGTCATTATTTGCAATGGTGAGTTTTATAATGTCCCTTAATGTGATTCCTTTTTTTTTTCAACATTGATTATTCTTCTAATGAAACTATAAGAAGGTAATGAAGTAGGAGGATTTTACCCTGTTTCATATTTTCTAAAGGCTTTTCCTGACTTGATAATTCTACAAAACTACATGGTCCGTATATGAATGCTTTTGGCTGTGTGCCTCCGATGAACTCATATCCTCACATTGGATATTGGATGCTTTGGGATGCTAGATTGAATCACGCAAGCATTACCTTTCAAAAAAAATTTATGCAACAATATTCTAGTTCGATTTTGATTGTGCCTTCTATATCTGGGCAAAAGTTGCAAAGAAATCTTGTTACAGCATGACACTTTTCGGATTACAATAACATTTTTTCTTCATTCATTGTTGTGTCGAATAGCTATTCTTCTTATCCGTTGCAATTTTTTTACTTTAGTTTCCATTTCAGGGTTACGATGACAAATTTGTCCAACTAAAATAAGTTGAACAAACTAAAATGCTTCCTTTTCACTTTACCGTGCAATCCATTGTAGGAGCCAAAATGAGGACATATCATATGCTTCCAGACACCAAAATCTAAATGTAAGAGATTTATTTCTGGAAAGAGTAGAAATTAAATGAACAGCAAGTGTTTCAGGAACATCTTAAGTTCCTTGAAGAAGGGAAAGCAGAGCTGCAACAGATGGGAGCCCAACCAATATAGTTCAAACGCTCAAGAAAACATTTAAGTTATAGAACTAAGTAACGATTTATTAAGAAGTTAAGGTAGACAGGGTACACAAGGGATACACCCAAAGCCGCAAAACTTACTGCAGCTTTAAGCTATTTTTCTAGTCCTAAATACAATTTTAATAGCTATCATCAATTGTAAGATCCTCTAAAATTTTAACGCTGCAGGAAGAGATACAAGGAGAACAATTCGCAGGAGCATACTACTGCAAGCTGCAGTATGCATGCTTTTGACCTTCTATTAATCAATAGATTCTATTGTCATGTAATACTTTTCACTGATTCTTACTGTCTGTGAAGTATACTTCTATATTGAGCTCGCATTGTTGATTTTCTTATCAACTATTTTGATAAAATTATTACTATTTCAAAGTAAAGCTAAGCCGTTAATTCCTGTTTTTCTTTCGGTTTTGCTTATATTTTTTGCAATGTACATATTTTTATGAATTATTCTTCTTTTCATGTTTTTAAAAATAATGTCCAATAAAAAATAATAATAATTTCCAAAGAAAGCAAAAAGTATTAGCCTTTATATTTCAGCTTTCAAAGTTCTAGGAATAGGGTAAAAAATCTTGAATAGAGAAAGCAAAAAAGTAAACTAGATCTACATAAGTCTGATGGCAAATTAATGTGGGAATTCCAATGTATTACCATGTACATTTGTTTTGGAAATTATGACAGTGTTGCAATATTCATGCCTTTGTTTTCTTTCACAGAATATTCAAGGAGTTATTATCTTGGTCGAAATCTGCAGGCTATGGATGGAGATCTTAGCTGTGTTAATACGTTAAGTATGGAACTTATATAAGCATTATGTTTTGCCTGCTTTTGTCATTGATTTTCAAATAATAAATGCATTGTATATATTGTATCATGGCCTTTAAATAATAAATGTATTGTATATATATCTTATGATGACTTTCAAATAATAAGTATATTGTGTGTATTGTATCGTGGGCTTTAAACATAAAGAATGAAGCTATTCTCGTAGATTTAAAGGTACAAATATCCTAACTATTTTAACCCTTTGAACGTCTTTTATATATTTTTGTTTGAACAAATCTCTCTTTTTCTCGGACACTTTACATAGTTAACATGACAATATCATTCAATTATATAATTCTGCTTTGACAAGCCTCTATGTGACCAAAAAAAAAGAAGAGATTTTTATTTGATTTATTTTTGGGTGATATTTTAATCGAGATTTGAATCCATATGTATGAATGCTTCTTATTATGAATGAATCAGTTATGATTAGTACGTGATTGAATGTAATTTGTTAGGGAAATATTAATGCATGCTAGGCCAATCTAGTTCAGTGTTTGACAAGTTCAATTTTTAAGAAGGCCTTTAAGATTTTTTTTCACCTAATAATATAAGGTAAGCCCTAAAAATCTTTTCACCTACTTAAGTTAAAAAACTAACTTCCAATAGACCATAGTTAGCAGCAGAGTGAGTTCTCGAGTTGTTTAAACATTTAATCCAACAATGCATTTTCCTTCCAAGAAGAAAGAAACTCTACAAGCATTTCCAAAGACCATATGAGCATATGATTTCTTACAATGAATATGAAATCATGTGGAACTGACTCAAAGCATTCTTTGAAGACGACAAATGCTGAAAGCTCCCTTTGTGCTACATTTAGAAAGTTACATACACTGTAAAAGAAAATGCCAAACCACAACATACAACCCTAAGCTCACCTGAGAAGGAAAATTTTCATAACTCATAATTTGTGCAGAAGCTGCAAGAATCAAGAATTCAACGAGAGATATGCTATGCCCTCCAGCTGCACTCGACGTACGATTCTGCTCGACATTTTGTCATCCAACAAGTGATCTCAAGGGGAAGAACTTTTTTTGGATCTGCTATGAGTAAAATGGATCAGCATTCTCTTATGTCCAGTGTATAAACAGGTACCTGCCATGTCTTGGTATTCTTTTTCGGATCGTCTGTGAGGCTAAGATCATTGTCGTCTTCCTTGAACGTTTTAATGAATGTCTTGGCTCCCATCACGACAAGTCTCTCCACCATAAAGAGTTGATAGTTGTTCTCGACCACTGGATCCAAAATGCTGCTATAATTTGATGCGTATGCCAATTTATACCTAAAGTTTAGGAAAAGAGACGTCTATTAGCCATCCCAGGATCCATTAAACCTGACTTCATAAGTTCAAGCACATTGTAAGCAACAAAATTGCCCAAGTCACGAAGACAATAAAAACCAAAACAGCATTGCTAAACAACATAAGCGAAGATTCCTAGATCTCTTTGTGACAAACTCGGAACTTGGTGTAGAGAAAAACTAGGAAAACAAAAATTGGAAAATTGTCTTTACCATATGCATTTACAGTGTACTCGCACAGTCATATTCATATAAAAACCAAATATGGCTGATTTAGCACAAACCTTAAATTTGGTTTAGAAGACCTCCAACAACAACAAACACATCCCATTGATGCAAACCACACATAATAATACAATGGAGGAAGGACAAATTTGTAGTCTTCTAACCCAAAAGATGTTCCGATCAGAAAAGTTTTTTTTTTCCCCCAAAGAGTTGAACCAAATATATAAGTGAAATAACATTAGGATCCTCAACCAAGAAAGTCGATAACCAGAAAGTCCTAAAGGTGACTTGAAGACCTACAGCTAATTTTGCTTTGACATGTCGACTATACCAACAGGATGACATTATTTAAAAAAAAAAAAAAAAGACACCTGCTGAAAGAAATCCTCAGCATGCTTCTCATCCTTTGCAGCTGATTCTCTTTCTCCATACTGCTCTCTCTCCTTCTCCCCCCAGCACCCCCACTCCCCACCCCCACCCCCCCCCCCCCCAAAAACAACAAAAAAAACAAAAAAAGACAGAAAAAAAGCTTAGCAACATTGGAATCAATAGTCCAGGACAACCAAAACAATAGAACACCACTTCTTCTATCTACCTCCCATTCAAAATTTTGAAGGCACCAGCACATTATTATGCATCCCAACTACTACGTTTATCATCCACATCTTTGTCAATCTATCCTAATCCTTGACCACACATGCACCTCACCACTACATACAGCTCTCTAGATGGTCTTGATAGGCATTTGTTTGTGAATAGTGTACAATGTGAAACAATAAAATATTGGAAAAAGCATGTAACTTCAAGCTGCTAATTCAAACATAGAACAGGAGAATAGGGGAGAATAAACATGGCAAACCAGTTCAAAGCAATCAGACGAGCTAATTTCTGTGATAATCAACTACATAGGAGTTGCTTTTATGTCATTTTGCAGACAATAGTAACAATACTAAATCACTCACAATACAGTCAGATGAGTATTTATATATTAGATAACAATGAGAAAAGACACCAAAGCGTAATGCTAATTGCCCAGAGTAGCTTAGCCAAACCAAACGATAAGTCAATAGGAAAAAATTTCCACCCAAAATGTGACCCATAGGCAGAAAGAAAATTTGATATAAAAAAGTGTCATTAGGACTCATACAACTACCAAGGCAAAACAATTTCTCTTAATCTTTGATAAGCAGAAGGCCTTTATTTTTATTGGTTTGGGGAAAGGGGGGTGGGGGTTGGGGGCCCCAGGATATCCAAAATTTTGATCTGCTGTTACTCCTAGACAGCAATCATATAAAGTTCAGGAGGATCAGATTGGAAGACAAAATACCTCGATGCAAGTGGGGCAAAGAAACCTGGGGTTCTCTCATTTGAAGCAATGAAAAGAGTTCGTCCCGGTGGGACCCATTTTGCAATTCGGCACGAAATAAATTCTGGACGGGTATCCCTGTCAAGATGAGGATGCAAAGACCGAACAACACCAAACCTATCCTTACGAGTTTTCAGTTTATCACCTCGTCTGACATGGATAGCATCATAATCACCAAGAAGCACCTTAATCTGTACGGATAACAATGGAAAACAACATCAATCATATTAACTTTATATAAAAAAAAAAGGCTTAAAGCAAAGCAATACTGCAGCTGACTGCAATAGAACACTAGGCATTTGAGGGCACCAATGATGGCATCTTAAAGCTTTTGACTCCCCTAAAGAAGGTATTCGAAACAACACGTGCCCACATGCAGATGACATTAACCACAATTAGGCCAAGCCATTTTGAGTCACAGATGAACCCAAAATGCATATAAAACTTCTAAATACACACAAAACCCAAAGGTCACCTAACCTATATTGACTTTGAACAGGCATATGCCCCGCCAATGACATACATCCAAAACTTTTTTATTATACACGCTCTTGACTCTCATTTCAATTGTGAATGCAGAACCAACGAATGATCAGCACCTCAGACCAAAATGGTTTGGGACATACACAAACAGCCAGCAGAAGAAAAAAAGAATAGCTCTAAAACAAAAGAAACTTACTGTCATATTTGAACACCAAGGTTCATTCTCAGATCTCCAGCAAATATTCAAGCCCCACAATATGCACCAAAAATTTTAATCAAGCAACCAACCAAAGAAGCCACTAGTAAAGCATGCAGCAGCAGTGAAAAGGCGAGGCTTCTTGTAAAATTCAAGTGGAACTCACAAGCATAATACAGTATTTCTATGTGGTGAATTAACCCCCTGGCCCTCATCTATAAGCTGAAGCTATAAAAAAGAAAGAAATTACTTATTGAAGCCTCTCACGTGCCCCCTGACCTGTATGCTGGACTCCTTTCAATACAAAAAGCACGTGACACACCTATTAAGAATGGTTCGAAGCATTAACAGAGAACCTGTGCTTACCCAGACACTAGTGTTCACTTATGGCCATATCTAGAAGCTTCAACTCTCAGACAGGAAAAGGAGTTAATATATATTTAAAAAATTAAAAGTTCCCAACCTGTTTATGGAAGAAACAGTGCACCTTACAACTAATTTGCAGTTGTCAAGCTTTTATGACATTAACGTTTACCCTGCCATGGAGTGGTGAATGGTAGACTGATCAGTCTTCTTAAATTTCCATCACCAAAATGATTATAAAAGGGGAATATCTCATTTCAAACTTCCAGTAGCAGCACCAACCAAAAATCTTCCAATAGGAATGGAAATTTTACGTATCATTGAGATATCATTACACATTTGTCCAAAACAAGATCCACAGCATTTTCAACATCAAGTTTACTTTATGCCCAGGTTTTGCTCTCTTCATCAAACCAAACTTTGATAGTCAACTCAAAAAAGCAACAAACCTTTTGCAGTGCTCAAATAATGTAATGAGAGTATAAATTTTGGCTATCAGACTTAAGGACAACTTATCGACCATCTCCCCCATTTTCAAAAGAATACCAAGCAAAACACTTATAACGAGGGCTTTATTAAACATTGCACCTATGACAGACCATTCTGTTCCCATATTTGACAGAACTTTCTTTTCTTTCCAGCATTTTTTTCCTGTCCTTTCTTTTCCTCTTTAGCTATGGGAGAGGAAAGGAAGGGGAGAACTCATGGCAACAATTCTCCATGTCAAAAAAGTTCACACCATATGTAGCATCCTCAGGAGATCATCAACAGAAACATATGCAATGCTTCTGTCATGTCTAACTTAGATCAACAAGAATATAAAATAAAAATAGTCAGGCTGTAATTGTACATTTACCAAAAGGACCAAAATAACTAAAGAGTTCATAATGGATATAGACTATGTTGTAATGCATCAAATTCAAAAATGGTTAAGATACAGTGTTTGGAAGCTGGAACCACTCTTAGCTTCTTAATAGACTCTTTGAAGACCCTCAAGATCAACCAATCAAGATTTTTTACATCCACTTTTAGACAATAAAGAAGTTAGTTTTCAGCCTAAAGGTAAGCTTGTAGTTAAGCTTACTTCCGCAATTCGTAAGAACACTCTCAGAAAATTAAGAGACTCCAATTAGTTAGTACATTTTAAATGAGTATTAGGTGATATAAAGCTTTTCATAAACAATACAGCACTTGGAGAGCTAGGACTAGACCACAAAAGATTTCTTGATTATTTAACTAACCTGATGGTGGGAAATTTTTCCAAAACGACCTGAATTGCTTCAGTCTAAAGCTTACATTCAAAGAGAAGTTTATTCTTCTTTGTCTACAAGCTACCTGACTCTCAGGTTATAGACAAGAAGTGGTCCCAATTTAACATCACATCACAGGCTACTATAGTGCATACCTTAGAATCATGTCTGTCCAAGGTTTAAAGCTAACATGGTGTACCTGAGACTACAAAACAAGATCCCAAAGCAACTTAACAAATGATTAGAGAAGTATATTACAAATAAAAGGAGAGGGGAAAAAAACTAAAAAATCTGAATATAGACTCCAGTCAATTATGTTTTAGCCTTTTGCAAATCCTAGTATCATAAATATGAGTGGAGAAGGTCCTGCTTTGCCAAACGCTCAAAACACATTACCATGATAAGTGGCTAAATTAAAAACAAAACAGTAAGAGCAACATTACCAATTGCATGGGCATAAACCAGAAAAGATAGTGCGCTAATAAGAAGTGTTATTTGCAATCAAGTTAAATTGCTAGGACAGAGGAAAAAATCTCACAGCACAACAAATTTGTGTTTCACTAGTGACTGATACTAATGACAGGAAACAGAAAATGGAACAAAATGCTGCATATATCACTATGAACCAACCTTTTCTGCTGCATTCCGCAACTTCTTGCTAGCCATTGAAGGAAGAAAAGAATATGACAAGAGAATAGCATTACGGTTATTCCGATCCTTGCACTCCATGAACCTGAATGATTACCATGATTAATACCTACAAGAAAATTATCAAGATTCAAAAAACCAAGCCCATGAGCTTCACAAAGAACTTTCTACAATGAAACTGTAATCATCGGTGAACCTAAACTTAGAGGGAAGAGGAAGTGACCAACCCGAGCATGATTCAACAAGTTAAAGGGCTCAAAACTTAGATCCTTTACCAACCCAAAAACAAGATCATCCTTCAACAGTGTGTAACAAAATTTTAAAGACTGATTGCTTGTATACAAATCATTGAACGCAAGGAAGATGGAACAGTTTAGAACAAAGCAAAAGGCAATACAGAAGTGTTAAATTACCATGATAGATGACTTGCTGTTCGATTTATGAGTAAAATATTCGAATACGAACTTTTTGATCCAAGATCCTCCCGGCTAACTCCTTGCACATTGGCGATCCCTCTGGATCCTAATTTCATGCTTGTTAATAGCACCCGATGCCATTCTTTTGAGTTATCCAAAATTACAGGTACTGTTCCAGATATGAGATCAAGATCATACAAGGAATCCATTGCACAAGAGCTAGCTGCCCACCTAACAAAAAAATTAAAATTGTAGGTTAGTCATTAAATGACCCCTTTTTGCTGATTTATTTCATCATGTACTTAAGGATAATATAAATGGAATAAAACAAACAAGCCTTACAAAATTTTTCAGCTGCACCACTTTGTTTTACTCTTTATCGATTCATTTTTGTTTTAGAAGCATTTGTAAGCAATTAGTAATACTGGAAAACTTGATACTTGCATCTTTTAAATCAAACAAGTAGCAACTGTAACCATTTTTGTCTTACCTTTATTTCTTATATTTTCTTTTTTTTCCTTTCAATGTAAGAGGCCAGAGTTTGCAGTGATACTAAATACAAGTCTTGCCATAACTCACCTTTCTTCTGAACTGGCATCATTGGACTGGTGAAGAATCCCTTTCTTATTGTGTATTGGATTGATGCACATTCTAGAAGGCATTACCAAGGTTCTGAAACATACAAAAGGAGCAAAGAACAGGAATCAGTAGGCCTTTTTTTGCATAATTATGGGCATTAGAAAAGGCACAAAAACTTGAAATGCTAAGTCCACCAATTGTCAAAACAGATGCTTTTCTGTTCTTCAGTGAGTAAATTGAATCAATGAGGCCATGAAAGGGGAAGACCCACAAAACCTGTAACCCAGTAGCACCAGAGCATAATGCTAACAGCTCCAAGTCTTTTAAGGGTTACATCCATAGAGTAAGACTTCCAACTGAATGTGAAAACAGGTCCTCCAAGTGCAAAACACTAAGAAGAATGGAAAGCCTTAAAATGCAAAAGTTTGCCAGAGTAAGCTAAAATCTCGAAAGTCAAAATTGCAGAACGTGCAGGTAACTAGAACATGTTTGTTTTGTTATAATTGTAGATAACATCCAGCAAAAATTCTCATTGATATGTAACTAAAGTTGCATACTACCACAGCTCACATGTGCTGGTTTATCTCTATATGCTACAATTTCATCAGCTGTCCCCAAATTCTTGCAACACCTCAAACAGTTTTTTGAATCACAAAACAACATTCAAGCAATGCAGTGTAAAACATGCATCACCCATAATTAGTACTGCAAAACTGTCCTCTTCATTTAAAAGTTCCAGTCTTTCCCAACAAAATCCTAAAGAAAGACAGGGGACTAACGGTAAAATCAAATCCAATGATACATACACAGGGGAAAGCAACATTCTTCTATTCCCCTAGGCACAGGATTCAACTGAAGTCACTTGAATCTCCCATTTTGCAATGTTTAGATAACACCCTCATTCCAAATGATAAAATCTATAACCTCCACAATCAGATTCACTCAGGGAAAGGGGGATAACGGAGAATAAAAGGAGGATCAACTTTTCTTTTATATCAGTAATAACGAGGGTATTTACGAAGACAAAATCAATCTATCTCAAGGTAAACTACACCAGATTTAATTATTCACTTTTACTCAGTACCGGAAAATAATGCAGCTTCCTCTTCTTCAATACTAAACCCATATTACATCCAATCAAAGATTCAAAGTTACTAATAGAATGCATTATATGCCGGGTGTGTAAGTAAAATTCTTCCCACAATACAATTATGGCAGTGCACTTGTACTTTGCGCTGCCAATGTTGTATATAACTATATATTTCCTCATCAGTAAAATTTACGACTTTCTGAACCAAATTGAGTTAAAAAGGGGACAAAGAAGAGGGGAAATGAAAGGGAGATCAACATTCTTCTATATCAGTATCATGCGCAGTTTACTTACTGAAAACCAGTCCATGTTGAGGTAAACTACATCATGTTTACAGAATTAGTTGTACTTAGCAATGCCAAAAGATGCAGATCTCTCTCTTCTTTAAAATTAGATCCGTACTATATCCAATCAAAATTACTAGCAGACTCATAATAGACGTAATGCATAAGCAGAATTCTTCCATCGATACTATATGAAATTTACTTGTACTTTTGCCAATGTGGTACTTTACCAATACCTTCTATCATAAACCTTCATCCTTCCAATGGAAACCCCTCAATGGGGAAAGTTGGATAATGAACCAGAAGAGACAAAACTACAAAAATCCCAAAGCCGTGAATAATCAACAATATTCCTCTCATTCTCCTTATAGTGAAGGATCAGCAAACTCTCCTCTCCCCTATTAAATTTTTAAGAAATCCAATCAATATCACCAGTAAATCCAGTAATATACATGCTGTACGTCCAAAATTGCTCCTCTATTACTATTATCGCTTGTACCCAGTGCTGACAATCTTGTACTTCAATATACCACTGATAACAAAGCTCCATTTTTTAAAACCAAAACCTCTCCGAAACGAGAATTAACATAATAAAAAAACAAAAGAACAAAAACCCACTTGTCCAAGCATTCACGTAGTCAAGAATTTTCGGTTTCTCCTTCCGTTAAAAATACTAATATATTTACCTCTGAAGATATATCGCCTCCTCAAGAGCACACCTGAGGCTGGACTCTTGGTGACCAAGGCCTTCACAAGACTCACAATGCTTCCCGGGACAGTCAATTCTATTGCCCCAATACAAATACTTCTCAGAATCTCTATGATTCCTAGCATTGCTGCTCTGTATACTCGTTTCTGTGATGGAATAAAAAAACCCTTTTGTGGAAGAGAAAGAAGATGCAATGTAGAAAACAGCAATGCAGCCAACTGTAGCTGTAAGGATTATAAGAATGGAAGATCTAGAAGGTGGCCTCTGGAGAGGCTTTCCTCTCTGGGTTTTGTGGATCGCCATTTTGCTTGTTGGGTGTCCCTGTATAACTTTTATATGAAGTGAGATTCAAAGAAAATAAAAATAGATTTTTTTTTCTTGTTCAAATTTCCATTATGTCTAATTTCTATTTTTTTTTTTTTTCCCTCCTTAGGGCTGGGCCTGTACTAGTTTGCAATTTTGTAAAAACTTGTCGTGGAAAGTGACTGTACAAAAGGAGTATATTTCAACAATAACCTTCTTCTTTAAAACTATTCTCAAATTAATACACTTTCAAAATTTATTCTCTTGTTAATTTACTTGTTGCCTTTTTCAAAAAAAAAATTTACTTGTTGCCATGTGGACTCTGAGTATAGAAAGTATTCACATTCTCATCTTATATTGAGAAATACAATCCACAATAATGGATTCTTAATAACTTTTCAATAGTTCAAATATTACTACTTGCGTACAATCTTAAAGATACATAAAAATATTTATCTATCTATTATTAAGTTAATTAGTATTTTTCACATTAGATCGGCTCATATAGTGTGTTAAATTTTATACTAACAATGACCTAGTCATATTCTCTCTCCTTTTTTTTTTTTGAATGTATTCTTTTTTGATGAGTCAAAAAATGCAAGGGAAATTTTTTTGAACTTTTCTTTCCCCTTATAACGGAATTTTTATAGTTCATGTAAACTATGATATCACATGTATCTTGAAATGCTTACTCGTATTTCAAACAATTTGGAATTTTTGCAAATTTCTTAAAATTTACAATGTTAGGAGAATACCATATATAAAATTGCAAGTAACAAGAAAAAAGAGAGGAACTTGTGAAATAACAATCAAGAATGATGCTAAAGAGGAACAATGACAGAAAAAAAAAAAAAATCTTCGGCAAAAGCATTGCTATTAGAGGGTGGTCGACAATTTTAAACCACTAATTATGGATCCACTTTCCTTTTCCAATTTGCCTACCGAATGTCATTAGAGCACTAAATAAAGAATAACTATGTAATATATGAAAAAAGATTTACAAGTGATTCTTTTCCTTTGATGGTAGTCGACATAGCAATAACTAGATTAATAAGGGAATAAAAATTGAAAGAACATTACTACGAGATTATTTTCTGAAAAGTAGATTATTTTAACCAAAAACTCTAGTGAAGAGAAATCAGTATAAGCAAAAACCCACTATAGGTTAGATTTTAGGTTTTAAATTTTTTAATTATTAAATAATTCAAAATATAATTTCCAAAGCAAATGCAAACATAAAAAAAAATTGATTATCTAAAATAAAAATATGAAATCATGTGAATTATCTAAAATTTAAATATGAAATTAGATGAGATGATCAATTGTGTATTGGAAATTTTATTTTAGATAATGAGGTTTAATTAAATCCACCTTTCTAGCAGTTTGTCCAAACATTTTTTTTATTGAGGTTTTTTTAATTGCACTTAGTTCATTTCTTTTTTTCCTTTTTTGGTACTTAGTTCATTTGTTTTCATTCAAGTTACCAATTATTACTTCTTCTTTTTTTTGGATTAATTGCATCTACCTCGTTATGCTTTGGCCAAACTACGACAAGACTCCGTGAAGTTTGAAAAATAGGTCAGTCTTTTTTCACTCCAACGTTTGTTTATCCCAATCAAACCAAAAGATACTAAAAGGTCCAAAATACCCCTTCATGTCTTACCAATGAAGGATAAACAAAAAACAAAAAATAAATTTTTTATACACTGACAGTGCATATACTATCACCGTTAGTTGGATCTATAATACGTGTGCAACGGTGATCCATAACACATGTGCAAAAAAGTTGAAGTTCAAATTTATATAGTTGTCATTCTTCCAAAACTAACAGTATAGTATACACTATCAATGTAAGAAACATTAATCCAAAAACAAAATTGATATAAAAAAGAAAAGTTCAGCAAAGAAAAACAAATGCTTTGCTTCTCCATCCACCGCTCTTATTCCAAAAACCACTAGTAACTGCACTAGTGCATTCCCAATTTGTGTAATATAAGTAAAAACAAATGCCAAATCTTCTTCCTATGCCACCAACAACCTCCGTCAAGCCAAGGTCTTAAAATCTCATGAACCTCCATGCTTCCTGTATAGGTCTAAAATGGGCATCAAAGGAAGATTCAATTCCAATCTATTGGAGAAGAGATTGTGAAAGGCTCATCTGAGTGGTCAAGGGTGATAGAAATACATATTAGTGCTATGATTGATCTGAAAACCTAAATTGCAAACGAAAGAACACAACAAATAGGCGAGGGCTCAAGAGTTTGAGGGTGCAAAAATGGTTACCTAAGTGGAAGGGAGAGGCGAGCATAAATGGATGAGTTCTTGGACATGAAAAAAAAAATATGGATGGTTTCAGTTTATCTGTGGAATGAGCATTTAGTTTTGATAACATTATGAGCAATTGCTATGGTTATATATTTTATAAGAATTGCACGCGGTTCAATAAAAGAGTCAATACAGTTTTTTAGAAACTTTTATGTTGATCATTGTTCCTTTTCCCGGAATGCACTGGGACTTGACTTTAAAAAATGTATATATTTCCAGAATCATGTTATCATCTTTGCAACCGTAATCATTGTTTAGTGGCTTGAGTGTCATAAGCAGAATTTGTTGCAGTCAGGATGTGGGACTTGGGATATTACTGAAGATGTGATAGTATGGATTTGTGCTGGGGAAGAGGATGAAGACAGATGGTGGTGGCCGGTTTGTTTTAGGGGAAGGGTCTTTTTGTCTACACGCATAATATTTTAACACCATTTATCAAAGGTTGTTTGGTTAAAGAGGGTGGCCATTATTTTTCAAACTTTAAGGGATTTACTTGTAGTTTGACTGAAGCACAAGGAAGGTAGATGTAATTAACTCTTTATTTTTTTTGTTTGTTCAAAAACACCAATTATTATTCGAGTTTTAACCAAATTACACTTACCATTGGAGTGTTCATTGGCCAATAATTGGTAATTTCGTAAAAAAAAAATTTTGATTTTTTCGTTATTTTCAACAATCTCAACATTCAATTACTGCCCAAACTTTTATTTGATAATTGGATTTCGGCCAGATAATAGGTATTTCAGTAAAATATCCAAAGTTTTATATTGGTTTTCTAATATAGATTAGTTAAGTCTATTGAATATGTAATTAATAATATAAAAGTTATCAATATGTTAATTAATATGCTTTTAAGGTCACATATTTATTTATAATAAAAAATTATAACTTATAACAATATTGACTAATACATTAATATGTAATATGATATCTTAGTCTGCATGAATTATATAAAATATTTAATTAAAATATGAAATTCAGTAATTAGGTCGGTAATTGGTAATTTGGAAATCGAATTTCAATATCCATTCCCAAACTATTTTACCAAATTTTAAGATTGGATCTTAATTGTTTTCTCAAATTCTATTTTATTGACATCCTATTTCTGATCTAAGTTGGATCGGCTGGTTATTCAATTTTTCTCGAAGTGTGAACACCCTAGACTTACCATTGTCACTTACAAAATCCAAAGCCCATTCTTTTATAGGTATTTTATAGCCCCCTTCAATTTCTTTTATAGGTATGTTGGCTCCCTCTATGATATGGTTGGACAAAATTAATCCCACTATATTAATTTTTTTTGTTTCCTTTTTTCTTATTCTTTTTCCATTTTTCTTTTTGCTTTTTTTCTTCTTTTTTTCCCTTTTCTTATGTCACTTGCCAAATGTTTCCCTCCATTGCTAAATTATGACACTAAATCTTTTAATTCTCTTTAACCCAATTTTTTATAATTTATTTATTTGCTAAATTCACTCTTAAAAATTTGTCATAAACTCTACTCTACTCGAATAAATATATATGTGTGTGTACCTTGCATTGTAAACATCTTCGAATTTAGGAATTTAATGATTTGAGTACATATAAACTAATTAAGTTCAAAACTAGTTAACTAGTCACATTAACAGTAACGTATTACAAATCACCTAATAGAGAAATGTTAATTTGTTCATTTATTATTTATTCATATCAATAATTCATTGATTAATCATTCTATTTTATTCATATATATAAATGTGTATATATATATTTCAATTCATTAGATGAAATAGACTTCATAATATAAAAAACCATTGATCTCTTGTTATGTTAGGAAGTTTCTTATGAAATACTGATTTTGACAACTGATAAATAAGCAAAGAACCACCAATCTAATATGTCAAGTTAAACAAAACTAAAATCCATTTGAATTAGCTGTTTTTAGAGGTGTTTTAAAATTTTTTTACTGTAACAGGGTTTTTAGAGTATATTTTAGGATATTTTTAAAATATATTTTTGGAATATTTAAGAGTAGCAAAGTTTTTAGAATATATTTTTGGATATATTTTTAAACATTAAAAAAAATTTAGACTATGTTTTAGAGTACTTTTTAAAAATTTTTATAGTATTTGAAAAACTAATTTTTAAAAAACTGATGAATCTAAACAGAGCATATGCACACAAATAATAATGGCATTGGAGATAAAGAATGAAAAAAGAAACAAGAAAGAGTAAACTAAAAAGAAAAGAGTAAGCAAAAAAGAAAATAAAAATAATTAAGATGGAAGGGATAGTTTTGTCCAAAGATATCATAAGAGGGACAATGTGCAAGTTGAGGAGAGTAAACTACAACTTAATGGATAGTTTAAGGGCGTTTAATGCATTTAACTCTAAAAAATATGCTTCTACGGAATAGACAAAAGGGTTATTATCACTTTACCCTTTTAACGTTCGGTGTAACTATCAATTTCCTTCTTAACATTATTTTTTAGTCACTTTATCCCCAAAACTAACGGTCAAACTTAACGGAGTTTGTTAATTAAAGTAAAAAGAGATGTTTAGCCCTTAAATTTATTATCATTTTACCCCCATAAACTATAGTCTCATTATCAATTTACCCTATAGAGTTATTTTTTAGACAATTTACCCAACTATTAAACCAACTTAGTAAGTTAAAAAACTTTAGAAAAAAGTACCCCCATCTTTGTATAATAAAAATAATAAAAAATTTAGAGTC